TGCTCTGTCTGCTCTGCTGACAGGAGTCTGGCGGGTAATTAAAGGAGGTACCAATCAACAGCAAAGCAGCCTCATATTGGAATAAAACAATAYGATAATCAGAGCCAGGAGCTGATGAAACCAAAGCAGACAGGGAAGTACGGGACCAGAGCCACCACCCTCTGTCCAGAATCAGCAGCCGAGGCTGAATTCAGAGGGAAGGTGGCCCAAAGCCTTAACTGAGTAATGCACCAGTACCTGTGCCCGGATCATCAAACCTCCCCTATCTGTTGACAATTTTGTGGAATAAGTTCTTTTCCTGACACTGGAATGAACCTACAGACAACATTAATAATACAAACCTGCAATTAGCAGCCTTTAGAAGAGCACAACAGCCACAGCACGTAGCACACACAGAGCCTCCCCTTCCATTAGGACAGCACGTCACCCACAGGCAAGCACAAAACCCGGCCTAACTCCGTGACGGCCTCTGGAGGCCYCCTTGACTTCAGACAGCCGTACCGGAACCCATCAGCTCCCTGTGTTTGAGGCCATAAAGGCATTTCGGAGAATGCTGACCCCAGGAAATCTTAACCATTTCAAAAACAGGGGTTTTCTGTGTTTCTTTGTTTTCTGAACTTGAAAGACATACTAGTTTTTTSGAGATGAAAGTGAGATTTGCCCTTCTTGGTGTTCAGAAATATGTCTGTACTCTAAGTGCAGAAGTAAAAGGGGTTTCTTATTTATACTAACATACACTTATTTATACACTTATACTAACATACATTTACTCGTACTAAATAAAGGAGAAAAAGGTGATGTTGTGTTGATGCTGTCATCCCTATTTTCACAGGGGTCTCTAGTAGTAGCTGCCAGAAGCCATCTTAGATGGCAGCAGATCACAAATAAGCCTGTAGCACTGGCAATCTTTTGACCCCTTAACGGGGTAACTGGTGGTACAAAAACCGCAAAGACTTAACAGACCAAAGAAATGACAGGTGCGAAATCTCTGCACTGTGAAGCTGTTCCTATGGGGCTACTTTTCAGAAGCAGGCTGCGCTCGAAATGCTCATTTCCAAAAACAGAGCAGCAGACAGGACTTCAGCGCTGCCACAGCAGAGCGCACGGGCGCCTCGGGAGGGCGCGGCGCTCGCCTTGCCGGGCACACGGTCCCTGCGGAGCGAGCGCGGGAGCKCACGGACCCGCTCCCCGCAGCTCGGCCTCCTGGCGCAGGAGCAGCCTCCTGGCCCGAATCCGCAGGCGGGCTCCGTGGCCGCCGCGGCGCTCGGGGCTGCCAAGCACTTCTCGGTGCATTCCCTGCTCCCTCCGGAGGAAGAGGCAGCATTTTCAGGTCACGAGCTCCGAAACGTTCCAACATGTGATCCCCAGGCAGGCTTACTGCTCAAAAAACCCCACACTAACACTGAGAGGAATGCCACACACACACACAAAMCACCCTTCAGCTTATTTAAGCSCGTGCTTTAGTGCTAGTCCTAGAGGCTACGGACAGAAAGGCCGGGYGCTGGCMCTGCCCTTCCCTCCCCACGCGGTGCCAGGGGCCAGGAGCATTTCCATGCGAGACAGCGACAGTGCTTTGGCAGAGAGGCCACCGGAAGGCAGGAGAAATACAACCGCCAGCGAACACGGGCGCGGGCACAGCGTCAGGAGAGCGGCGACGTTCAGCCGTTCCGCTGCACCGTGACGACGGGATACGCGGCACCTGGTGAAAAATGCCTGGGGGGGAGACTGCTACAGGCTCCTTCAGTTCCCRTTCCCCTGCAGAAAATCCACTAATGTCACTGGGAGAAGAATTAGGGCAATTTGGAATGTTTTTTGGGGAAAAAAGATACTTCTCCCTCACCTGAGAAAGTCCAAATTTCCTTTACAGAGAAGCTCAGCTTTCCTGCTCCAGAGTTCTTAGGGGTTCTCATGTTAGGACTGATGGAAGCGGGGGCTGGACACACAAGCCCAACAGAGGGAAGATGCAGTGAACACCCATCCGCTCATTTTCCAGCTGAGGACTTGAAAAATACCCTGACAATCTGGTCTGCTTGGGTTAGAGCATCGGGCCTTCTTTTTACTCAGCCTCTGGTAGCTACAGCTTAATGAAATTTGACAGGAAAGAATCTGGCACCGTTTATCCCCAAATAAAATAATACACGACAAGCAGGATAGACCTTTTTTGTGAAAACACTGTTACCATGAAAAAGAAYCTTTGAAACCTTTTTCTATGTTTATTCACCTAGCATCTCAGGGAAGCGTTAGTGTGTGGCACTGGAACCTGTTTTCCAGATTTTAAGGACAAGGCACTGATCTGAAGAGCGTGGGAAGTTGTTGTTCACCTGGTGACTGAGACACACGGGAGGTTTAAGACCCTGCATATGTTCACTCAAGAAAACCAGGGCTTGGTTTCAAACACTCTTTACCACGTCTTATGATCATTACTGACTGGAAATCCAACGCATCCGGAGGTCCCCAAAGCCACAGAGGTCCCCCTCTGTGCCGGRTGCCTTAGCATCACAGCCCCCCTTCTCAGGCAGGACACCCCAAACAGCTCAAGGAAGGTGCTGGCGGCATCGAGCAGGACTCCACAGGACAGTGCGGGGTGCACCGAGCTCGAGCTCTGCCTTGCCCAGCTCTGAGTCGCACCCACGAGGCCGCTCTGCCTCGTGCTGCAGAAAAATAATGGGGCTTTGGCTTTTGCCTCAACTCTGTTGAGGTTAAAAAAAAAACAAAAAATAAACAAACAAACAAAAAAAACCCCGGCAATTCAGAGCACTTGGAACCATCCCACACCAATCGCTGCCTGCTTGCCACATCTCACTGCCACTCGGTGCTCACACAAACACAATCCATACCTGCACACGTGGCACCTTTTGAGGCTGGTTCYCCCTAGGTGTCTTTGGCCACGTCACAGGCCAAGCCAACAGAACATCTAGGTGCAATAACCCGCCAGTGCCCCACACATCCACGTGGGAATCCAGCTTAGGGAGTGCTTGGCTCGGCTGGAACAGCTTCCCTAGCAAGCCAGCAAGCGTGCTTAGTTCGGGTTGGTTGAGGTAACTTCAGTTCCACCACTCACATACCTAATTTTAGGTATCTTAACAAACGTGGTGTAAAACAAATTAAAAACCAGCCCACTGCCATGGAATGTCTGTATTTTTAGAAATCAATCTTTTCCCAGAGAAAAACGACTTGTCGGAACGCCTTTCGTTTCTCTCCGGGGAGCCGAAGCYGGCCCTCCAGGGAGCAGGGATGACTGGCACGAGCTGACAGCTCGCCGCGCCAGCTCCAGGGAATCCAGCACCCAGGGAAACGAGGAGCACGGATCACTGTCTCGGGCTGCATTTAGTGCAGGCCTGCGGTTACATGTTCACTGCAGGAACCTCCGTGTCGCTATCAGATATTCCAGCCCTGGGGCTGCTTATTGCAACCCACAGCTCCGCTGGTGGAAAAGCCCATGTGACTGTTTCCCATCYGCTCCCGCGCGCTGTCGAGGGCCTCAGCTCAAAGAGCCCTCGCTGGCAGCTAGAGGCAGAGTCCCCACGGCACCCTGGGTCAGGTCTAGCTAGGCCAGGCCTGCCAGCATCAGGCTCGCAACGTGGGTGTCTGCAGCTTCTGAGCCCCTCTGAGGCACGGCTGGAAACGCTCCAAGGCCGCTCCGAAGGGACACGAACCGGGGCAAAACGAGCTCTTCCCTACGGACACTGCCAAAAGCAGGACTGGGCTCAAGGCTACCTGACTTGGAGGTTCTTGGTTGGACCGTGCGATTCCCGAGGAGCCGGCGCTCCCCAGGACGCCCTGCGATGTTCTTGGATGCACAGGCGCTTGGGTAGGGGCTGCGGGAGCGGGAAAGCTGGGAAGCTGCTGTGACAGCTTCCATCGCCGTTCCCTGCTCCATGTGTAAGTGTTGCCCCCTGTGCAATAAACCACTGTAAAATTATCCATTCGTTTTGATTAAAGAATTCCTCTCAAATGCATCCCATAAGGAGTGAAAAGGCKGTGAAGTCAGGATTCGGTACTAGCACGAGTCCCATTTTACACAAATCTGACTGTTGCACACGTCTGATTACACAAATACAAACATCAATACCCGAATGAGCATGCACCAGAACGGAACTGATGCTCAACCCCGCACGCTGTAATCTGTGAAGCATTCCAAAGGCATGGATTTAATCCGGCGTCACCTGGCTAAACACACATATGAGATCTGAAAACTAACTGGCAATTCTACCACCCTGGCAGACACACAAACCCCTTTCACATCAGGAAAAGTCCTGGGACAGCAGAAGTCTCTGTAAGAGCTACTGCTGAGTCACTCCTTCACTCTGCGATGCTCCTGTACTGTATTTATGCATTGATCCTAGAGTCACAGTCTCAGAAGTTCCTCCCAGGTTCTCACTGAAAGCTCTGGCTGGCTATGTGTAAAACAGCAAAATGGGAATGAGTTTCAGCTTCCAGAAGGTGAAACTCATTGACGGAGCTGGGCAGTGAATGGGTTTACATTAATAGTATTTATGATCCACAGCATTTTTCCCTGAGTTTATGATGAACAGTGAAAAACTTGAGAACAAAAAAATCAGCATTTCATTCAGCTACCTCTGACACCTTCTCTTTTATATTACAGAGGCTAAAACTACATCTAAAAGCAAAGTCATGCCTCAAAAAATTTCAAGATGTAACTTTTTGATCATCTGCATTTTTTGTTCCATTTTTTTYCCCCTAGGAACACTAGTCAAATTGACTTACCTCACAAATGTTCTTATTTTTGATAAATTTACTCATCGTGAGGAAACTGTTTCATGTAAAGATTCTAACCTCTGCTATTCAACGTGGAAATCATAAAGAAACAAGGGTACAGGCTGAAGACTTCAGCATAAAATAATCTCAGTAAGAATCAACTTCAGTGCTAGAAAAATGTCTTTGCCTCCACGCTCCTCACATACAGAAAAATAAGAAAGTGCAAATTCCTGAGCTTGGCATAGTTTTGTTATTCTCTAGCAATGGATGCAGTACTTTACCTTTGTTGGATTTTGGTTGTTCAGATGAGCCGCTTCCAACCTTTCTCTTTTTCCTCGGAACAGATGAACTTTTCCGGTCAAAGGTAATAGGACTGTATTGAGGGAGGCTGTTGAATTTCTTTTCGAATTCTTCTTCTAGCTTTGCTAAGCTAAAAGGGGAAAAATAATTCAATTACAATTTCTCTCCAGAAAGGAAGACAGAGCTGAAGCTGGAGTGCACCTAAAGCCAGATATCTATGTGTAGAGCAAGAATGAGATGGAGAGGGAGACACACTGCAGACACACACCCACACCATGAAAGCATCAAAGAAAGATGTATTATTCCACCTTTGGGATGAGAATGTGCACACTGCAGTTTCTGCATTTGTGACTCAGTACAAGTTCATTGTATTATTTGCATATATTAGAATAAAAAAGAGCAATGTCATGCTAGTGACATCTAGCTATGGCTGCTCTACGCACAACAGACTCTTCTGTTCTACAAGGCAGGGGGAAGAGGTGAAAAGAAGTCAAAAGGTTCAAAAAAAGAAAAAAGATGAGCTAACATCCCAAAAGTAGCAACAGTGAYGCTGAATTATGAAGAACATTATTTCTGAAATCAACTATGGAAAAAGCTAAATGAACCAGTAAAATTATTTCATACAAAAAACTCTCGAAAGTCAAAGAAAATGGCAATTCMAACCAGAACAAAAACATCGAATTATTCAACCCACACATATCTTCTGGGGGAGAGAGAAAGGATGAGGGAAAAAAAAAAAAMCCAAAAAACCCAACCTATCCACAATCCCAAAGCACACACTCGTTTCATGGCACACTATTGCCTCCTCTCGTGCTCTGCATTTGTGAGGAGAAGTAAAAGGCACGTGGCTCCTGCACCCAGGAAGGGCAGCGCCCCTTGCCCTGAGCCCAATGCTCGGGACCGTGCAGCTCCACCTAGTTAAGGGGCAGAGCTTCTCCACGGGAAGCGCCACGGAGCAGGTGCTCTTGATTGTAACAGTGACAAGGAAACACCTGAACGGGACGGGACGGGACGGGACGGGACGGGACAGGGCGGCACTTGCCCCTGCCGTGACCACGCCGCCTCGCACGAGCAGCACTCTGGAGCCAACCTGAAGGAGCTGTGTTGGATACAACTTGCACAGCGAGGCTGCGGGGACGAGCGGGCAGCTCATACACGGAGCTGTGGACGGCAGGGGAACAAGGAATTGCTGCTCGTCTCCGATCCCGCTGGCTACAGGGAGCCAAGCGCTCCACAAGCGCCCAGGACGCCCATCAMGCACCTCGGGCACGCTCGGGTGCAGGCAGCAGCGTTTCGGTGCCTGCCCTCTGAAGCAGCACGAACAACCAAGCACTGCTCTGCACAAAAGGGGTCTCTGCAGGACGCAGTCTGATTTACCCCTCTAACTGGTATGTTTTGGTGAGCAAGCCTGTCTGCATTCACCGTGATTCCCTGCAAGCGCGCTCCGGCCCCTCGGCAAACCACGTTCCCGGTCGTATCCGTTCTCATGCACGAGCAAAAGCGCGGGCAGCTCCAGAGACAGGACACAGGGAAACAACGGGAGAAAGAGGCGACTGCAGTGGCAGGGAGCACGTGAGGAGCCCCCACAGCACGAGGGAGCACGAGGAGCAGGGAACAAGGGAGCAGGCAAAGCTCGGAGCAAAGGGCAGGACTAAAGCAGCTCTTCCGCGCGACACGAGACGAGGCCGGGCAGCCAAGGGGGAAAATGGGCACCTTCTCCCTGAATCACCGCCTCTGCTTTTGCCAAGTTCCCTGAACAATGTTCATTAATGACGTGACGGATTCAGGAAGCAAGGCACTCAAATATGTATTTTCCCCATCCAGGCAGCCATTGATGGTAGGACAATATTTGTCAAATGAATTAATTATTTACATAATTTTCCCAGCGACTCTGAATAAATCATTTGCTACACTTTTTTTTTCASTTAGGGATGCATTTGCAGTTTTCATGTCAAGAGTTTTGAATTTATATTGAAAAACACTGAAAAAATCATTTACATATTTGATGGCACACAATGTCATAAGACACACACAAAACATACTTATAATGGACCAAAAATAAAACAAGCAGGCCATTAATTTTTCTCGACTATTCCAAGTAAAAGCACATTTGGAAATTTTCAGTGGCTTAGCACGTTTGGTGTAAAGTGAATTGCAGCTACATTCCAGATGCACCAAGAACTTCTTCCTCAGAATTCAGATAATCAGAAGTTTCCAAGAATTTGAAGTAAGGATGAATAGCTCAGTGGATTTAACAACTATGCCTGAATGCAAATAAATATGCTAATACAATGACAAAAAAAAAATCATACTTTACAATATAATTATGTGCGGCCTTGCTAAATTCCAATGCACTTGTAATCAGTAATTATTATTCTGATATATTTAGCAACTTTAGACTGGATATAAACAATTTAACTATCTTGTCTCTACAATGGAAAAATCTATGTATTTATACCCTAATCATTTAGTGACATTAGAATACTGTTTACTTTTCTGCTGTAAGTAATCTCCTTTCAAGTGGGCAAGGATTTCCATTTTTTCTAGTGCAATTCTGCTTCAGGTGATTGAACACCTACACGGAACTTTAAATGCTGTTTGCAAAGTGCTCTGAGAAATGTAATTAACCCTCTTCACCAACCCTTGAGCAGGTAAATATTGTGATTCTTTTAGATGTGAGCAAATAACGTTATTCAGATTTGTTTACAGCACGGAAGATCTCACAGGAATTATTTTGGTACATAACTAAGAAGAAACTGGAGCATGGCTCAGCTAAACTGGGTCTGCAACTTCCAGGAATTCCCTTGAATTATCGGGCCGACCAAGCCAATATTTTACACAGTGCTCACTGCCACTTACCCCAAAACGAACTCCTCCTTTGGCTTAGGCCTTTTCAGTTTTTTGTTCCCACTTGTCCCGCTTTGTGAAAAAGCCCAGTTTTCTTCATTCCAGCATCCTTCATGATCTGAGGAGTTGCCTTTTCCTGAGCTTCTTTTACCTGGGATAGGGGGAGAAAATCATACCTCTTCTTTAGGAAAAGCGTGCCACAGCCAAGCGGGCTCCCAAGGGACTCCCACACCCACAGAGCACAGCAACCTCTGCTGAGTGACCTTCCCAAAGGAGCGCCAAGGCAACCCTGTTTTTTCAAAYGGACAATGATACCATTGGTGATTTTTTCCACCCCCCGTGTACATATYATCTCCAAACGAGAGCTCTTGAGGTATACAGGAAGGGGAAAGCAGGATAGATTTACACKAATATAGTTCCCTAGATTCCTGGTATTTTTTCCTTTCCATTCTGACTGCTCCCCAGCTTAGATTAGTACTTACTCACTTAGATTTGTTAATCCAGGGCACGTTTGTCCACATATCTCACAGGCACTTACCATAAATGTTCATCTCCAATGCATCCTTCCCAAGCAAACAGGCGCTCTCGCACCCCCCACAGCCAAGGGAAGTGCTGAGAACTACCCTTAAAAACACCCTGACCCCAAGCGTGGCCTATACAGACACACTAATCATCCAGGATTACACAGAACACAAGCCCTGTATGTAACTTTTTAGCAGGGTGACCAATTAACCACCCAAGCCTTTGGTCCCAGAGCTAAACRTCAAGTGATGAAAGACAAAAAGCAGAGAGACTTAGAGCCTCTGGGGCGAGCGGGATACAGACCGCAGGGCTCGGGAAGATCCGCCCTGGAACACGGAGCCAAAGCCCCTCACGTCCCAGGCACGGAACCAGACCAGAATTCCCACCGCGCGCTTCGCTCCAACTCCTCCTCAAACATCAACTTTCGCCCTTCTTCCCACRCCAGGAAGACTTTCGCAGTTTACGCCGTAAATAAGCAGGGTCAAAGCCACCCACCTCTGTCCACATTAGCACGCAGAGACGTGAGCATGCCCTCTGACACCAGAGTTTTATAAAGAGCACCTTTGCACGATCTCTCCGATTTCCTGGAGCCACAGGTCTCTATCTTTTTAACACAGTCACTGTCCTCCGTTTTGACCTGTCCTGGCAAGCTCTGGGGCGCCACCTCCTCGGTGGGGGTCAGTGGTTCCACCTTCATGTTATCAGCAGCCTCGCAGGGCACTTCCTTGCTGGCTGCAATACTAAGGAAATCGGGAGGCTTAGATTCTTTGGTGGTCTCCGTGGGTTTCTCCTTCGAGGCCTTCTTCTCTTTCGACTTCACTTTTTTCTTTGGTGATTTTGTGTCCAGCAGGCTTCCCTTCGCGCTGGAGGCCGGGCGYGCTTTTTTGCGGGGGATTTCAGCGAGTCTCTCGGCACCCCAGTCCCCCTTTGCAACAGCCTCAATCGTGTACATGACGCTCTCAATGTCCGACTCGGAGGACTGCCTCTTTTTACACGGCTTCTTAGGGGTGGATTTTTCACTGGAGTGCCGCTCCAGCTTATTTTTTTTCTTTTTCTTCTTTATCTTTTCCGGCTTGCTTAGCCCGAAGAGACTCATGTCAGCCATGGAAAGCTCTGGAGAGCGGCACGTGTGCTCCTTTGAGCTGTCACTTCTCTCAAAGTGACTGCTCTCCACCACAAGACTGGTAAAATGACTGCATTTTGCAGTGTCTGGGTCCTCAGTTTTTGTCTCATCCCAGTCTTGTATCTTCCCCATCTCCGACTGCTCTACTTTTCCTTTACAGGAGTCCTTTATTGTTGTTTTCTCTAGTTTTTCTGCTTCCATTTCCTCTGCAATCTCTCTCGTCACATCCTCTGGTGCTTCCACTTTTGTTTTCCCAGACTCTTTCACTTTTACTCCTTCTGAAGCAAGGCACATCTAGAAGGAGTTTAAAAACAACCACCATGAAACAAGCACATCAGCTGTTAGCATTACTTACCTGCATTTACAGGAGGGAATTTCTCCGGAATCTTGATTTGGGGCTGGAAGTAACACYATAGGACAGTAATCAAGAAAATATTACAGTCCTACTGAAGCAGATGAGCTTAATTATGAGGTTAAGTGTTAGAATAAGGCCGGTGGATTCTACCACTCTAAGGGAAAAAAAACCACTTCTCCAGTTGACCTCAGTAGCCCTTCCATGATCCTATAAGTGCCCCTTATGCAACCCAGAAACCCATCGTTACAGTGGCTTTCAYGAGACTCTAAGTGCAGTGCCACGGCACGGTATCTCTCAGGATTGTCACGGCCAAAAGCTCAAATCCACTCCTGCAGTTCAGAAATTCTCCTGTCTACGGCTCTCTCCTCTGTTTTCCAAATGACCTCAAAGGGAGTGGAGCCATTGCATCTCAAAAATCATTTTCCTTTATTTCTATGTGTAAAATAATTCAAAAATCTGGGGGAAAAAAAAAAACAAAAAACCTTCCAATCCTCTCTCCTTATGGCACAGTGCTATTCTGCAACRAGCCGCAAAGCAGCAGCGGTTGCCATGGTTATCTACCTCCTCCTGGAGCAGCAAACCCAGGGAAACCTGAACGCTCCCGGTGCCCGAGAGGCGCTGGGGAGCGCGGCTGCGCCGAGGCCCCGGCCCTGCCTGGGACAGCAGCCCAGGCCCCTCTCCTGGAAGGACAGCCTTCCTTCTCCGCACTCGCTCCCGGCAGCCCCCAACCTCCATTCCCAGGGCTGGTGGGTTTCGAAAACGAATGTCTTCCCACCAGCAGCCTGGAGCGGACCAGGAGCCGGGCCTGCCTTCAGCCATCCACGCTGGAGTCTCCCGATCCTTGTCAGATCATCAGGCTCTTTGTAGGTCAGYTTCATATTCTTCAACCTCTCAGGTTAAAAAATCAGATTTCAAAACCCTTTGCAGCAATATAACAGCAATGATAGGCCTATTTGTAAAGGGTTTCTAAAACTCCTGCAGCATGTGGCAGAGATCCCTAGTCTCGGCCTCTTAGTCTGCCCTAGTCTCTTCAACTCTGTAAATCAAGTTTAAATAAAGCTTAGAAACAAAAGAAATGCAACATGCCCACGAGGGGCCACTGGTTTTAACTGATCCCAGAAGGAGCATCTGCTGTCACTTGCAAGTCACCACAGCAGAGTTGCTATACAAATTACTGACTCCTCATTTCAGTAAAATAATAGGCATGAAGGAAGGACAAAAATAAATCGAAGAGGCTAATGCCTTTCAACAGACAGTTTGCAATAGCAATGCCCTAACCTCCATAACAGGCTAATTTGGTCCTTCCTTTAAAAACTAACCATCAAACAAACAAACAAACAAMYAAAAGTAACCTCTTAAAACCCAAAACCCAAACCCAAGAAATTAAAACAATTTAAATGTAAATCGGATAATCCGTTTGCCAGCAGGGGCTGGTACTTCTTATCAGCTACAGCAAAGGCTCCAAGAGCCTCCAAGCTAATGGCTAGTCTAGGGAAATCTTGACTCGCGGCACCCAAGCCCAGTTAATTTATGCTTCCATAAGCAACAGTGCAATTATAACTGTAGCTTGGTTCAGACTGGCAAGCAACAGCACTAACATCTTCCCCTCTCTGCATCTGTGGTAATTAGTCACCTGTATTTTAATATTACCTCTGCCAGCTGAAATAATGCTGATGTTCCACACTGCTTTGTCAAATCAGAAGGACCTGAATGGGATGTACTTGAAGAAATCTGAAGGAAAAGAAAAGAGGAGAACAACATTATTTCTTCAGTACAGGGCTTATCATACAGTTTTGGAATGSATGGTTTCCCTCCCCTTACAAACATTCATTCTTAAGATTACATCTTGAAAAAGAAGTGTGGAGCTGCGTTCCTGGTTATAAATGAAGCAACAGCCCCACTCCACCACCGTGCTAGTAGGAAACATCACTGGACCTTAAAAGCTATTTCCAGATTTGGGGTTCCTGACMGTCAGGTCTCTCTTTGAAGAGAAGGCTGAAATGAAGCACAGATWCCTACTCTTGCATGTAAAGTGGTCCCAGAGGCTTTGATAGAGCCAACAAGGCTGCATGTATCCACACCAGCATGCCATCCAGCTCATACAGCTTCTGCAGGCTTAGTTAGACCTTCACTGCAAGATCACATCACTGTCATGGCTTAAGTAGCTTATTGCACTGCCCACGGGTGTCCCYGAACAAGCGTAAAAGATGCCAGGAAACCCAAGCGAATTAGGAGACCTCAAACCTTTGGTAATCTTTGACTCCTGTTACCCAGCAAGGCCAGCAAGTACCTGACTATTCTCCAAGAGCCATCTATCTTTTATCAGACTGTGATCTTTTTCAGCACTGCRGTGTGTTTTGTATCAGTATCCATATCAAGATGAAGTACGCACGCAGAAATAACCATTTTCCAAATGAATTAAAGTATCAACATCAGGACTGAACAACAGCATAACTTAGAAAAATTTGCATTTTTAAGGACACATCACAAAACCTCTGAGCAAGCTTGCAGGCTTCCCACAACTGCCTCCTTGGAAAGAGGCGCCTCATTTTTGGGACCGGGGAACTAAAAGTCTCCCCACAGCAGGCCATGGGGCTGTGGGCCATGGGGAGCATTTCCCTCACTGAAATCTGAAGAGGTCTTGGAAGAACAAGCACAAAGAGCATGCCAAGGTGGCAGTGACACCCTCCCTCATTTATCTGCAGCTCAGCAAACATTTCCATCTTTGGGGTCATTAAGAGGAATAACATTTTTAGGCCAAGCCTTGAAGGTTGCAGTGATTTTCCCTACAGAGAGGAGGCCTCCATGAGATGATGTTTAAGACTCACAACAAATTCTGGGGCTGTATAGGAAACCTCACCTAGGCTTGAGAAATCTCCACTACTGCTGACAACTGCCCATTTAATTTCAAAACTTAGTATCTTCCTGCAACTTCCATCTCTATCTCCAGTCTCCTGCTGACTTCAAAATTTACTTTAACCTCTTGTCTCTGTTCAGCAATGCACCTTCTGGTCCTTACRCTTATTTTTGAAACTTGGTTTCAAAATTAACCTCACCATTGCAAAGGAATACCACTGTCTCTTGCCTTCACCACTACCTTAGTAAAGTTTTTTGTTTGTTTTGTTTCATTTTTTTCCTGAAAGGAAGCAAATTTTTTTTTTTTTTCAGGATGGTCTCCAAGACACTACACACATTACAACTGCCTACTTACCTACCTTAGTATCCAATGATTTATTGATTTGTGCTTCTAAAAACAGTAATAAACAGAATTACCCTATAGCAAACCTTATACAATTTGTACTGCTGGGAAAAGGACACACACATCTTCCCATTGAAATAGCAACATGTATAACTTTTTACCTCTGCCAACTGGAAGAGTGGCGACTTCCCACAGTGCTTTACTGGCTCAGGACTTGACAACTGGGAAGTATTTGATGAGATCTAGGTTTTAAAAGAAGAGAGGAGAAAACATTTCAATGACATACAGGAAAGACAGGGAAGAAGGGAGAGAAAGAAAATTTGAAAAGGGTTAAGTTAACATCAGTCACTTCTAGGATCTTCCTGGCAGAAGACCCTACTTCAAAAGAGCAACCTTGGCAAAGAAACACTTAAAGAGGCATTTAAAGGCCAACAGGACATAAGCAGATACAGAATTTCTTCCTTGTTTTTGCTTGTAATGACATGAGGAGGTAGTACTTAAGCTAGAAGCCTTGAACAAAAACTGTAAAASCAGGGACAAGACAATCAGTATTTCCAAGGCAATTTACTCATCACAAAAAACCCTTATGACYGTGCTCTTGCAGCAAAAATTATCAGCCTGGTCTATCTCTCAATATTACRTCTGTATTTTGAAGTAGACTCACTGAACAGCTTACTTTCAAATATCACGATTAATTAATTAATCGTGATATTTGATTAATTAATTCTTAAATTCTTTAATTCTTAAAAGAAAGAAACCTAAATCATTCTAATGGCAATTATTTAAAAAAGGCTGAATTATATCTAAATGTATAATGAGCATTTTTGTTTTAATATTAACCTAAAATAATCCGAAATCCTATCTCTGTTTTGACACAGGTCACTGAACCCAGCCAGGAACCTTCTGCAGCCAGTGATCTTGCTCACGACACGTGGCAGGATGGAGGCCTGAGCGCTTCCACCTTCTGCARGAATACGCTCTCAACGATGGCTTCCGTGCAGAATCCACGGCAGAAACGGCCAGGGAAACACACGTTACAGCATCATCCGGGAACACGCACAGTGAGAGAAGAGAGCAACGAGCTCCGTTTTGGTGACAGCACTGAACTCCTAACCCAGTGCACGCCAGATCCCAGCAGTAGGAACAGGAAGGCAGTGTTTCCCTTCAGCAGGAAGCTCTTTGCCAGGGGAATTTATCCCAAGGGACGCAAGCACAGAGCTCGCTCTGCTCAAGTTGCTGGCTGCGTGTCAGGGGTGTGAGGCTCCTCAGGCAGCTCCCAGGGAGATTACAGATCTCTTTTGCTGGCTAAACACCCTCCCCTAATCTTAAGTGGAATAATCTGTACCTGCACTGCTACAATTATAAATAGTCCCTTCTTATGTAGAGGTTTAACTTAGGAACCATTAGGATCAAGTTACTCTCCCTTTTACAATACAGATCAGTGTCTTAGCTACTACATTAGCTATTACATTTTAGTTTGTGTAAGAAGCATATGCCAGGGTACCATTTTTTTTYCCCCTCAAGAAAAGACATTTCACTTCCAATACCAATATTAAATAATTCCAGCACCTATGCAAAAAGCAATTAAATTTGCCTATTAATTTAATGGCATTGTCTGGCATAGTTACAGCTCTAAAGRGAGGTGGTAGGAAGAGATCCCAACCAGATCTCTTCCCCACCAGTCTGAAGGCGTTCTCATCGAGGTCCTGGATTCAAGGCTTCTGCTCAGCAGAAGGATGAGACCTCTTGGACTTGACAGGATTACTCCACTTCGTGGCTGTCTAAGGTCCACTGTATTTTTATTAGATCATCAAAAAAAAAAAAAAAAAAAAAAAGCTTTGAAAGAGCAGCAAAAAGCAAAGAGTTTAGAGTCCCTGTTTCCTTTTTAGGACAGTTAAACCAGCATTTTATTTCAAACTAGCAACCTTACTGCTGCCGCCTTCTGGAAGCATTTTCCTTGTTTATAAAAGATGCGAGTTTAGCTAAGAAAAATCCAAGAGGTCCTTGTGACTCTCCTCTCCGAAGCAGCCATCGCCATCTGCTCTCCTGGGCCGGAGAGCCATCCAGCAGGAGCAGGGGAGCAGGGGCTGCCATCTGCCGCGCTCGCCTCCCACGGCTCCCACGGCGTGGGGGTGAGCGCAGCCAGCCCCACGCGGGCAGGCGGCCCCCACGCCGCTGCCGCTGCCCCACGTCGCGCCTTTCCGCCCCGGGGCAGGGAGAGCGGCAGAGCCAAGCCGGCTGCATCAGAAGGAAGAAGGCAGCAGCGTCAACTCGGCAACGCTCACGGCTTCAAAAATGTCCTGCAAGGGCTTTATAAAACCTCTTGTAGGAGCAGTGAACCTGGACGCAGAAAGCCCGACTCCTGGGACTGTCGTCATCTGCTGTGTCAGGCCGACACTGGGCAGGCCTCATTAGGCCTGTCTTCATCAGCTTTAATTGAGAACTAAAATACTCGGGCTAGGCAGCCACATGAAAGCCTCACTGAGGCTCTAGAGAAGAAAGAGCCCCATACTAGTACATATAATGAGCTGTTTCTGAGTGACAGGGGGCTGTAATCCCAGGCTAAGGGCTGGTCCATCTAGAGCCGTCCATTTAGGCCACACATCTACTCAATGGGATCACTTGCTGCACAAAGAGCCACGTTTATTTGTCCTGCTGTGACRGCAGTAAAGAGAAGGGGAACACAGGAAGAACACTTGGGTCCGAACACACAAAAACCGCTCGGTCGGGATGGCTGCCAAGAGCCCCGGGCGCCCCGAGCAGGGCACAGCTCACGCTGTGTCACAGGTGGTTACGTAGCCGCTTCCTCCTCTCCCTCCGGTAGCTCCRGGCCTTGCCGAGCGCGGCCGGCTCCCCATCCCTAAGCAGAGCCTGGCTCGCGGAGCGCGGCCGTGCGCTCGCACGCACAGGAGCCGGTAGGAAGCGGCACCCAGCGGCACGGGACTCCTGCCAGACAGGACAAAGGCGCCCTGTGCAAATGAAAGCCCCTGTATTAGGAAGAGCACAAGCAGCTTTAGTGGCCGAGAGAAAGGCTTGAAGAGCTGCTGCGGCGCGCTCACTGTTTCCCCTTGGAAGAACTCAAAGGAAATCAGGCTGCAACCTTAGAAAATGCCATTTTCTCTAACGCTTTGGAGAAAGCAAGATGTTCGTCACAGCCACCAGGGTTTGACAACAACGGCAGAACGCGGGAGGAATAATTGTGGCCAACAAGTTGTTTTCTCTCATTTCGGCCTGTTCAGATTTCAGTCCCTCTGTGCCAGATACTGAAAGAATGATGAAAAAAATTCAACCCACTCCTGTACGGCAGATATATTTTACTATTTTTAGTAGGAAAAGAGATCACTCTCCAATCCAAAACCGTCCTCTACACCTTCAAATGAACTTTGTAAGCACCTATTTCCCCCAACTTTTGATAATTCATGCATGCAGGCAATGGGCCAAATAAGCTGGCTCAGCACAGGAGATGTGTGGTTCAACAGTCACATCCTTATGGCAATTTTGGGCATTGCTGTTTGTTCATCTAAGACARGAATAGAACGTAGTTTCTGTGAAATTTGGAGGCTACGGCCTGATTCAGTTTTACAGGTGATTTGAAAACACTGTGCTAAAGTCAGTCCAGATCCTGTTCAAGGCTGCTGCTGGCTACAAATACTGTTTAGCTGGAATCAATGATGGCAAAGATTTTCAAAACTACATTAAAAGATTCATTTATGTGAGGTTTTTGCAATAAAATTCTCTATAAAATATTTTATAGCTGACATATTTTATTTGTTTTAAAAGGCTGGTTTCAGCCTACAGTTTGCTTTTGCTAAAATCCATCGATTTTTCTCAAAAAAAAAAAAAAAAATCCCAATTCAATCCAACAATGAATATGGAGTCCTTTCACCCCATAATGCATCCCCAGGGTAGCACCAGCTCCAATCTCAGTCCTTTCAAGCACAGCCTGAATATTCCCTCCATGCAGGTTGCGCTACAAGCAGTACCAGACTCCCCCAAATGGACAAGAAGAGAATATGTGTGTGGAAAATCCATTCACAGAGGCAAATTAAACATACGGAAGAAGAAAACTCTTAAAAGCAATCTCTTAAGAAGCCCAAATTTTCATTACAAAGAGGAGGGAGAATAACTTACATAATTAAGAGCATAGAACAAGAAGAAASGGCCTCAGGTTGCGCCAGGGTAGGTTCAGGCTGGGCATTAGGAAGAATTTACTCTACTCTATCCTCTACTCAGCTCTGGTGAGGCCGCACCTGGAGTACTGTGTGCAGTTCTGGGCWCCCCAGTATAGGAGGGACGTGGAGCTTCTGGAGAGGGTCCAGAGAAGGGCAACCAGGATGATTAAGGGAATAGAACATCTCTCGTATGAAGAGAGGCTGAGTGAGCTGGGCCTGTTTTCTCTGGAGTGGAGAAGGCTCAGAGGGGATATGATTAACATGTATAAGTTCAGGAAGGGAGAATGCAGGGAGGAAGGGGACAGGCTRTTTTCACTGGTGGCCAGCGACAGGACGAGGGGTAATGGCCACAAGCTGAAGCAYARGAAGTTCCGTCTCCAGGTGAGGAGSAACTTCTTTACTGTTAGGGTGACAGAGCAGTGGAACAGGCTGCCCAGGGAGGTTGTGGAGTCTCCTACTCTGGAGGTCTTCCAAACCCGCCTGGACGCCACCCTGTGCCACATGCTGTAGGTGTGCCTGCTTGAGCAGGAAGGTTGGACTAGATGATCTGTAGAGGTCCCTTCCAACCTTAAATATTCTGTGAATCTGTGAATTTCTGCACGGAAAGAGTGGTGAAGCACTGGAAGGAAGAGGCTGCCCAGGGAAGCGGTGGAGTCCCCATCCTTGGCAGCACTCAAGAAATGTGCAGATGAGGCGCTTGGGGATACGGCCTAGCAGGCCTGGTGGTACAGGGTTCACGGTTGGACGCTACCTTGAAGGTCTTTTCCAACCATAAAGGTTCTATGATTATGGACTGTACAGTGATCTATAAGTCACTATCTGATAATGTTGTTGTGTCCTTGTAGATATGCTCCTTTTGCCCTGCAAATTTATTTTTCAAAGGATTCCTGCCTCTAGGCTAGCTTCCCTTTTCCTCCACTGCTGCATCTTGCATAGGCAGTGCACACTGTCATTTCAGAATGTCCTTTGCTTGTTGTTTTTCTAGATGTGAATTAAAGGGCTTTTTGGGGAAGAAGGAAAAAAAAAAAAAAGAAAAAGGGAAAAGAAAGAGAAGAAAAAGAAGAAAAAAGAAAGAAAGGAGTCTGTAGCTATCCCTAAGTATGGAAGGCCTAATATGACATTCACAGTCGCAGTGCCTTCTGTACGTGCTATAGTTGGTGTCTATTCAACTCGATGGTCACTTCGCCAGGATTTTCTTRAAGCTATCCTGAAGATGGGCTTTTATTGACTTATTTTTTCCCCCTTCCTGAGGGGAATCTCTATGAAATAGAGTGCTTAAGCACTTAGCTACAACTCTTCTTGCTTCCTCCCACCCTCCCAGAACATATTTCAGCTACTATACCTCAGCGAACTGAAACAGTGCAGACTCCTCCGTTTGTTTTACAGCCGCAGGGACATCTGGCTGCGATGTGCTTGAAGAGATCTGTCAGGAAAACAGTTACGTTCATATTAATTAGGTCTGATCCCCCGCACAGAGAAAACTCCTGGTACTGGAAAAACATTCAGACGAGTCTGACCACGTCCACACGAAAAACAGTACCTGCTTTCCCAGAAGACAAATGAATCCCGATAAGTACTAAAACATCCTTCAAAATAAAAAAATATATATATTTTTATGATTACGATAACATTTTTTAAAGGCCTTTTACTTGCCCACTGATGTATCAGAAGTGGGRTAACAACAAAACACCATAATCTGTCACATTTTAGTGCAAGACCTGACTGCTGAATGGTGGCGCTGACAAATTGCYGCCCAGTATGAAGATACTAGATCAGTATGGAAGATGTGCAGACACAGATGCAACATATGTACATACTTAATAAAATACTAGATCTATTCCAGGCATGGAGGGAACTGCATTTTATAYTTAAGTCAGTTCTTCTTGTTTCAATGGCACTTCAGATTATTGTTAGACTTACGTACCCGTTATTTTTCTAATGATACATGTACCTGTTAGCTACTCATTAGATRCAGCCTCCCTGCAAGCTGTTTTATTTCCTTGGGAAATGAGCTCATCATTGAAGCTACCTCCAAAATGCGTTTTTCAGTGGTGCAGAGGTGCTTGTTTCCTGGCACCCATCAAAGTCCTTGCTTTGGAGGTAAGGAGGCTTCTTAGCAAGATGCTACCTTGCAGCACACAGCCTCATTTCTGCTGCTTTCCTGCACAGGTATTATAAAGTGAACCTGAACAGTGTGTGAGCTGAGATTTGTCTTACTGGTTGAAAGACTTGCCAGTAAAATTGAAGAAAGAAACCATTATCAAAAGGAACTGCATAAAATATTACATTGTTCAATTGACAGTATACAAAAACATCTTAGAAATACTTAAAGCTCGCTAATTCCAATGTCATTTATGATAATACCGTGGTAATATTTCAATATCCTAATAGGGGTGTTGAGACTTTAATTATTAAGACTCTGTAGTTAAAATCTAAGTGCAGGAATGAGATTTCTAAATTACTGATTAAACCACAGCTCCACTATTTTTCTAGGGCTTCAATCATGTGCCAAAACGTACTCTATTGAACTTGAAGTCTGACRTATCTACCTAGTAAATGCTTCAGTATCATAAACCAAAAAGAAAATTAATTAAATAAATAAAACCACAATTTTCAGTTGAAGTTTTGATTTCTCTTTCAGCCAAACATCAGACGCTTCTTAAAAATGAAACTGGAGCAAACAGTTCTTCTAAGGAGGCTCACCTCTGCAAACTGAAACAGTGATGACTTCTGGCAGGTTTCCGTAGAATTAGTYGCATCCGACTGGCAAGTACTCGAGGAAACCTGAAACGAGCGYGTGGAGAGTGAGACCTCAGCGGGCCCTTCTTCCAGCTAAGAGCAAYGTCAGGCAAAACGAAATAACAGGCAGCAGGAAAAGCTGCTGCTAAACAGAAGGTGGACAGTCTGGTGTGTCACAGTCCTGCACAAGCTGAACCGAACTATAAGATGAAAACATGACTTAGCACCCAGTCTGATGTATTAGGCAATACTTCAGTAAAAATATCAGGGCTTGGGTTTTATTCCAACTTTTTCAAAAGTTTTATTCAGTAAGATAAGACTTCTGATCTCAGGCTACCTACACATGCATAAGCTGGGGGGGGGGGAGTTTTCGTAGACACTAATAATTGCAAAGTGAAAAAATACTTACCAAAAATACCCCCCCAAACATTTCACAACAAGAAAATATGCACTAAAAGGCACCACAGTCCTAAAGGTGTTGGAATAATCTATCTAAGCATATGGTTTTGGAGTTCTTACAAGAAGCACTCCAAGAAAATCTCACTTAAAACTTGTGAAATCAAAATACAAAGAAACCACTGTGCAAAAAAACCCAACAAATTATTCTGCATAGTAATCATTATTAAGACAAAACTTAGGCATATTATTATGATATCTACTGTCCTCTATTATGGTATCTATTGGTTGATTATGATATCTATTATTATGGTATGCATTATGACAGAAATGCGTTATTCAAGCATTCTTCTTAAAGGAATTACATCAAGTAGGAAACACATTTATGAAATGTCACAGTTGGCTGTAGAACATCCACACAAGTGACTTTGCAGAAGCACGAGGTACTGCTAATATGTGTAGAGCAACATAGGAAACATGAAAGGAAGGACTATGGAGGGGGGGGTCAGGAAGGTGATGATAAGTAATACGATGGCTTTTCTTTTCTCCTCACATTTTTAATTTTCCATACAAGTTTCCATACAACACCACATCCCACGGCAGCAATTCCAAGGAGATTCCAAGATTCCAAGCCGTCCAACAGCCAAGGAGGACCACGCTGCAGGACAAGCTGCTGATGCTCMCAATTCAGCTTGCTTCCTTCCTGCATTACAAGCAGGCAGCAACAACGGCCCCTCCACAATCGATGCTTTCATTGCAGTTATTGAGCACCCAGCAGAGGCTTTAATGCACTGCTACAGAAGTGTGCCCAGGCAGCACAGGGGGCTAAAACCACCCAGGGATGCCCATTTCTGACACCTCACTTTTGCCTTTTTAATCCTTTGTGTGCCGGTTTTCACTGATTTGTTGTTCTTATTACTGCTTTGTCACGTTTGKGTGTTACCTGCCGTGGCTCAGGAATGGCACGGGATGTACCAGAACGGCACAGCCACCCTCTGCCTCCACAGCAAAAGAAAAGTTTGGGACTGCAGTAACTGTTCTTTTTTATTTTTTTCTGGGAAATACCCCTCTGAGGCCACTAGGTGTTGCTGTAAGGCAGGCAGAAGTCACCACGGGCAAAGCAAAAGGAACCGGGAGCAGGGAGCTCTCCTCATGCATTTCAGAGTCTCTTCTGAAGAAAACAAGGAGTGATGAAGYGACAGGGTCAGGCTTTGCCGAGTGCAATGCAAATGGTAAGCACAGGCACAGGCGTGTAGACCGTTTTTGTGCAGGGGTTTAACAGCATCCGCTCCCGTCTGCATCACCATTCKGCACAACTGAAGGAAGCACTTGAACGGAAGCGAATCGCTTAATTAAATCATTTGCTTATTGGTGCTAAGATGTTTAACTTTTCCTGCCCGCCTGCTCAGTAACTCCAGCTTGAGTTTGGAAAGCAATCAGGTATCAATGCTGTYGCTAGAAGAAAAAATCTATAGTCTCTTGTAATCTTCTTATAACCAGGACAGGAACGCGACCAGCTGCATGCAGAAAYGGGCACCGAAACCCCAAAGCTGTTCTGTAACCTCGGCTCGGGTGCCTCCTTCCCCTTCCTGTGCTCCTGCATCTGCAGCTCTGACAACCTGACCTGAAAAGTCCCTATACATCCATTTAACATACACTTAACCAGAAACCARTGGGCACTGAAGAAATTTCCTTGGGATTAGCAGACCTGCTACATAAGTATTACTTTCCTCATCTTCCCTGAAGTTCCTAATAAACTATTCCAGTGCTCTACTGCTTCTATTAACATTTTTTTAAGATGATAATCACGTTTCAAGACTTATGCTTAATTAAGGTAAATGTTGAACCTTTCCACTGATGATACCTCAGAATTCCCCTTAGTACACCCAAGGCACCAATATGCTCCACAATGGCAATACCCACTCTACTAAAATCCAATTTCAAATAGCCCACTGCAGAGGAAAGCATCTTAACCCATTCCACGACAGATCTGGGAGGTTTTCCAGGATGTGCTGCTGTGACACTCAAGTGTCTCTCGGGTAGAGAGCTTGATTCCAGTGCTTACTGCCTCACCTGCAGGGCTGTCAAAATGTGGCAACTCACTGTAAACAAGAGCTAATTCCAGGCCTGCCATGATACTTATCCAGCAGATCCCTCAGCCGGATTTGTGCTGGCTGTGCATGCAGCCATTATTTTGCTTTACATTTTTGGTGAAAGTGTTTTGGTGCTTTACATTTTTGGTGCAACCACACAGCTGGTTTCTGTGATGTGGAGGGCCAGACTCAAGAGAGAGCCACAGCGTGGCTGCCTGCAGACCACCTGCCCTTAGCAGGTGCTGTGCTCCAGCTCCTCCACCCGTGASGGTGCCATCCTGCTGGGCAGGAGTGCCTGGCTTGATTGTACGTTAATCGGGTATTGAAGTTAACACTGTCTTAGCGATGCCAAAACCAGGCCCAGCATCCACCAACGTGGCTGGAACAGGAGGCTCACACCTCGGTGGCTCCTGAGGCACCCAAGATGTGTAAAGATTTCATTTCCAGCTTGTCAGATACTCCTTTTTAAGGCTCTTGGTAACTGAGGGCTCACAGTGAGGGAGAAAAGAGAGTTCCTTACCTCCTGTGCAGTCAGGGCATGCTCCCCTGCTAAAAGCAGCATACTCAGGCCTCCCATTTGTGTAGGATCTGTTAAAAAGCAAAAGCAAGTCTTCAGTTGATTCATTTGCTTGCCGCAAGAACCTATCGTTTGCAGTGTTAAACCCCCAAAAGGCTCCTCGTCACAGACACTCTAAGCAAGTCTCCATAAAAGCCAATTCAAGAGAATCGCAAATAACCATTTCTGTACCCTCTGGGAGAGGCTTTCAAAGCTGTTTGAAGGATTTAATTGGATTTGTGTGCTTAACACCCCATTGTGTGGATTTACAATTTTACTGCCAAAGGTTTTATGTACTACAGAGATGGGTATCTTTAAAACAGCAACTGTAATGATCTCACACATAAATATACACAACGAAGATGCTCTAATATCACAAACATTTATAACTTCACAGATGCTCCTGCCAAGGGAGCAGTCCCCTCCCTTAGCCACCGAATGAGAAAAGGGATGGAAGAAGATAATGTGATCCTGCTCTGAGGCAATGTGGCAATTCCAGTTAGTTTTAATTTAGAGCTGCATTTGAAGGTGGGAACTGCCAGCTCAGAGGCACCAAGTGTCCTCTCCCATGCCAGGATGGCAAAGGCTTTGCCCAGGCAACATGCCCACCTCCGTGGTGCCCTCCCGATAGGATATGTACTGGGAGAAAGCAAAAGGCAGATACAGAAAGGACTTGTGTTTTTTCTCTGGGTATTTGCTCCTCATGGTTCTGGCCTTCAGCCTCCCTGCACCTCAGGAGCTCTGCCCCAGTCCAGGCTGGGGACTGACCTGCTGGAGAGCAGCCCCGCAGAGAGGGACCTGGGCGTCGTGGTGGACGACAAGTTGACCATGAGGCAGCAGTGTGCCCTGGTGGCCAAGAAGGCCAACGGGATCCTGGGGTGCATTAAGAAGAGCGTCTCCAGCAGGTCGAAGGAAGTGATCGTCCCTCTCTACTCAGCCCTGGTGAGGCCACATCTGGAGTACTGCGTCCAGTTCTGGGCTCCCCAGTACAAGAGGGATGTGGAGCTGCTGGAGAGAGTCCAGCGCAGGGCTACCAGGATGATCAGGGGCCTGGAACATCTGCCCTGTGAGCAAAGGCTGAGAGAGCTGGGCCTGTTCAGCCTGGAGAAGAGRAGGCTGAGGGGGGACCTGATCAGCGTGTATAAATACCTCAAGGGAGGCAGTGAGGAGGAGGGGGCCGGCCTCTTTTCAGTGGTGGGCAGCGATAGGACTAGAGGAAACRGCCACAAGCTGAGGCACCAAAAGTTCCACAGGAACTTAAGGAAACACTTCTTGACAGTGAGGGTGACAGAGCCCTGGCACAGGCTGCCCAGGGAGGTTGTGGAGTCTCCTTCTCTGGAGATCTTCAAAACCCGCTTGGATGCAGCCCTGTGCCCCGTGCTCTGGGTGACCCTGTGTGAGTAGGGGAGTTGGACTAGACGACCTCTGGAGGTCCCTTCCAACCTTAAGCATTCTGTGATTCTATTAAACGGTAACAAAATACAAAAGCAACAAGCACTGACACGGCGTCGCTCACAGAGCGGCTTCTCCGCACACTTTGGAATACCTGGCTGCTCTTCACTGTTACAAAGACCRACCGCCTGATTTTGGGGAGCGCCTTGGGAGCGATGCGAGGTCCCAGGCAGGCGGTGTCACGTAGGGAGGGAGCAGCCGTGCGGCCCGGACGCCTCCCGCAGCGGGTGCAGCGGGAGGGGAAGGGAGCCCTGTCCCTGCCGCACGCTGCGACAGGCCGGCACAGCCGCCCAGCCCGCCCCGCTCCGTCTCCTCGCGCCTGCGCGCACCGTCTTCACCACTTACCCACGCGCGTTAACAGCTGCGTCCCAAACGCCCACGGGCATTTCCCKGGCCCCTTCCAACCCAGGAACGGTGTCAAGGGATGTCGGGGCCAGGGGCAGCTGGTGTGGGCCCAAGCTGTACCTGAGAACTTCCCAGCGATTTAGCGCTATGGATCATCAGGCTCCCGTTCGTGCCACTCACCAGCACTGCTCAATCAGCACTGCAGGTGCTGCCAAAGCTTCTCCCTCACTCGGCATCCCACACCAACATTCCCAGGGAAAGTTTTTCAATTCTCATTTAAAAGAGGTGTACACTGGAGCAGCAGAAAGTGGTGTGAATAAACCAAGATCATCCACTCCCTCAAGGACAGCAGAGTGGCTCACGGTCTTAAGAATACTCCCTAGATAGCACCTGGTTTCAACGCCAACATTCAGCTAGAATTATTTTTTTCCTTTACTGTAATCAACAGAAAGTTTTTTTATTATTATTTTTTATTCTTTAACTGTAAAATAGAAAGGAAAAGTATCAAGCTTTTAGAGATGATGCACTAACAGAAATGTAGCATCTAGCAACAGGAGRTGGAAGATGGGGAAGAGGAGACTGAGCTGAACTCATGAGTGAGGCAAACCTTGCAGAACAGGACTTTCACCTTCAAAGTACTTGATGAGCAACAGTTCTAGCTTTCAGGAAGGAGGAAATCAGAGCGACTGAAAACTGAACACGGATCCTGGAGGAAAATGACTCAACGGGCRGTTCTCCCTTAGAGGAAAGAGAGATGGGAAGAGACCTCCTGGCCCRTCATAAACTGACTGAGCTCCAACTGAAACATCTGGGGCTGGGCTGGTTGCTTTCTACTCTCTCTATTCCCACTAGAAGGCAGCTGCATAGCCTGAATTTTTTAAGTATTAAGAGCTTTCTTTTAACTTTCTGCTTAAATTTACTCAGGGCCAAGTGGTACCCACTTGTCCTGAAGGCTGCACTTTTAAGCTTGAATAACTGTTCCTAAGTGGTGCCTCCCCTCTGCTGTATTCATGGGAGTCATCCTACTCTTCCACCCAAGCAAATTAAAGTCTTTTGATACCAGCACGCACATTTGTCTTCTGTTTTCCTTGCCATCCCTGTAGCTTTTCCGGTCAGTTATTCCAGCTGGAGCTCCTCTCAAGTGGAGAGGTCTCAGCTTCTAGCTACAGTCCCCACTTTTGAGTGTCTTCTTTGCTGGAAAAGTCTCCTGCTTTCTCTCCTTCAAATGCGTAGCTTTTAATTATAGGATAAAGCTAGGATTTTTTTAAGTAAGCAAATCTTCAAGAGACACTTAAACCATTTATTTAAAAATAATAATAAAAAGACCCAAGAGGAGGGAAAAATGACAGCTTAGTAGGAACTGAAAGTTTAATTTGCTGCTTATCCAACTCAAGAACACTTATGCTGCAGCTGTAGCAGAGCTCCCATGTCTGATCCTGGTAAAAGGCAGAAAACCCTCCCACTAAGATTTCAAATTACAAGATAATATAGGGGAAGACAGCATGTATATATTCCAACACTGCCATATGTTTATAGTGTCTTCCAAGCATAATTATGCTTCTCTAATGGCACTAAGAACTAAGTAGCACTAGTACAAATAATTTAGAATTCTAAGTGATATTTTAAAGTCATTTACAGGCAAATCAAGAGAATTTAAAGTCATTTACAGGCAAGAATAAAGAGAAAACGCTGCATGTATTCGATATATAGCCTGGACCCGATTTGTGACTTTTTCAGTTGCCTTTAATACTGCCTGAACTTACAACCATCTCACTATTTGGAAACAACCTCTCTTGTTGGTATGAGGCTGGCTAGAAGCTGGGCTGGCTGGCTGGCATCACAGCAATTTTCACACCAGAGGACAGCAAGAGGCGAGCAGAAGCAAGGCCAGCAGGCACCGTTTCAGCTAAGTGTCGGATGAGAATAAAAATAAATAAATAAATAAATAAAAAGGGAGAAAAGGCCTGCAGAATACTCTTATGAAACAAAAGGTACACTTTGACTCTATATAACACATTTTCCAAAAAAAAGTGTGGCATAGAAGGAAAAAAAGAAAAAAAGAAAAAAAGAAAGTGCTTGCAATTATGAACAAGTGAAATGGATTTCCTGGAATGGCTCTGTAACGGGGAGGTCTATGGTGGCGCTGCAGGAGAGCAGGGGTCAGCACCCAAGGACAAGGGTGCCTGCTTCCCATGCCAAGGCGTCTGGAACCCCTCTCGGGAGCAGGGAAGTTGCTCCTCTGGAGCAAAAGCAGAGCGTGACGAAGAGTGTCGCGAGGTCCAGACCCGCTCTGCTACGTATCGTAACCGCGCAGCACGGGAGCCCTCGCCTTGAATCACATCGCACAGCTCCTTCATGCCCAGAAGGGATTTCATTACAGGCATTTTCATACTGCTCAACTGCCAAAAAACACACGCAAGCCCTGTTAGYCTTTTGCTCTATAAAAACGTTTTCCACTCTCTGGAAAACTCTCAGGAACTCTCGAGGCAGAAACATCTCATTTGTCACACGCTGGTCATAAGGTAGGTAGGATACAACAAAGTTGCCAATACCTCCACGTCTACAAAATGAGAAACAGAATGAAAGCAGCTTGCTTTCCACCTTGCATCCCAGGTTTTTAAGCTGCCTCTCTTTAATCACATTAATATCTCTGTATTTCAAGGTCACGATTGCAACAGTTTGCTATTTGTTTTCTGTCAGTGAAAGGGAGAGATTAGGTGCCCTTCACCAAACACAGGCTCTCTATCTGCACTGATTTTTTTAATTTAAAAATTTGGACATCCCAACAAAATGGGAAAAAGAGCAGATTTTAGAGAAAATTATATTTCAYTTATTTTAAATGTAAAGAGTTAGCTCCACAGGTACATTAATTTAAAGGAACATTAAAACCCCAACTTTACAGACATCCACGAGTTATTTGGTATGCAGCAAGTTGCAAAACACAGTGCAATGCTGCATGGAAAAGAATGCACACAGTTAGCACCATCGCTGATTAGAAAATGAAAATGTCTAGCTCTAGCAGCAGATAAGCCTGAGCTAAAAAGAAATCAAATCTCAACTCCAAATGGCCATGTTTTAAGAAATGTTCCATACCYGGACCCAGTTCCAAAGGTATTCATGCACTTACCTCAGCCCTGAGAAAAACATTGCAAAGTTGTCATATAGACTGATCATATAGATTTAAGAACGGTCTTGGCAACTTAATTGGGGGATAGGAAAGGCATATACATTCTATTACCACCTGCAATAATGAAAACTGGTCTTGCAATCCCCCTGTAAAGCTGCATCCTCCACAAACACAAGGGTGCTCCCGCGAGGAGCGGGGCTGGAAGTCTCACCTGCCATTCCGAAGTTAAGCTGGGGCATTTCTTCACTTTTTGCCACTTTCCTGGGGCTTGGTAAATCTTTCGCGGAGTCTGACGAAAAGGCCCACAGCTTTTTCCTGTTTGTAACAGTTGATGTCTGGGTTTTCACAGGTTTGTTTGTTGTAGGGCACCACTTGTACCCTGGATTTGCCTTCATGAATGCATCCTTGTACTAGGAAAGAAAAGGAGAATTATCAGTCACGCCAGTCAGGACATTACACTACCTATAGAAGACTGAAGTGCACTGCTTGCGAGAGGATTAAATTCAGCAACTGACCTTCACATTCTGYGATTTTCTAGCAGTGTTTTAATTGCAGATTAGAGTACGACCGCCAACGCAAGCGAACATGAAGAAGAAATACCAAGATCAGWGAAGCTGCATGTAAAACAGAAGGTTGATCACCCAGAGCAGGCTTAAGTCCTGCTCCTGCAAACTGCTCCCCAGTGCCTGCACGGTGCGCGGTGTCTGGGAGCCACAGCAGTCAGCTATTTAAATTCTTCTGCAGGTACAATCAGTGTTTGTGCTCCAGTTTCTGAAAACATTCACTTCACAACAAATGCAGCAGGGCACTGCTTACGCTGTGATCCTTTTTCCCCCCTAATAATTCTATATATTAGGATATTCGAGCTATATCCTTTCCCACATTCCTTAGAAAAGAAACAGCTCCCTGTATCACCTGTTCCAGTGACCCCCGGGAAGTCACTTCCAAAACTGATCACGCTGCGTGGAAGCATTAAAACGAACTGAGACCATTTAAAACTTTCTTTGGCCTTGACCACTCTCAGCACACATCCCAGCCGCTTGCAACAATCTCGGTGTGAGGCAGCAAAACAACTCAAGCCAGACAACACATAGAGAGGGGAAAAAAAAAAAAAAAAAAAAAGCCCTGGAATCAACACAGTTTGGTGGTGGTGGGGAGCGGGAAGCCGCTTTTCCCCCAAAAAGGTGCCAGTGAAATGCCCCAGGTACCTCGCTGGGCGGGCAGAGGGCATCTCTGAACGTGAGTGCCAGGAGACCCCGCACGCTGCAGTGTTTGCACGTGCAGCTCCACGGGGTGCGAACGGGAGCCGCCGGGAGGCAGTGGGAGCAGCCTGCAAACCAGCCCCTCGGAGCGGTGCTGCAGCCCCCTCCAGGTACTCCTGGGGCTCCTCTGCCTCGTGGCAGGGCCACCATCGCATCYCCGGCTCTTCCGGGGACAGATCCCATCCCCATCTGCCACCTCTACCTCCCGACTGCAGCAGTGCCAATAAGGACCCGTTTCGAGCCGCCGGGCGCTGCGAGAAGCCGCTGGGCAGAGCGCTCTATTGAGAGAAACGCCTGTAAGCAATGAAAGATCCATAGGGGCTGCAGACCCTTCTCCCCACGGCAGCCCCTGACCAGGGCGCACGCACCGAGCTGGCAGAGTGAGGACTCTGACACCTCTGGCCTCCTCCCTTTTCCTYGGCTTTGCTTGGGAGCTGTTTCACCAGTGACAGCCCCAGGGAAGGAAGGGAACACCGGGAGCTTCCAGCCCAGGTTTCCAGCCCGCGCAGCGCAAGGCCCAGCCCCTCCAGCAGCSGAGCAAGTGAGCTCTTCCCAGAGAGCTGCCGCCTGGAATAACCGAGCCATCCGTGGATGAATGTGTGTKTATACAAACACCTCAAGGGAGGGAGGCAGGAGGGGGGGGCTGGCCTCCTTTCAGTGGTGGCCACTGATAGAACTAGAGCAAAYAGCCACAAACTGAAGCACCACAAATTCCCCAGGAACTTAAGGAAACATTTCTTAGCAGTGAGGGTGCTGGAGTCCTGGCACAGGCTGCCCAGGGAGGCTGTGGAGTCTCCTTCTCTGGAGARCTTCCAAACCCGCYTGGATGCCGCCCTGTGYSMCGTGCTCTGGGTGTCCCTGCTGGAGCAGGGGGTTGGACTAGACCTAGGAGTCCCTTCCAGCCTTAAGGACTTTGTGATTCTGTGACTCCATGGCAGGGGCAGCGCGCGCCGCTCGGAAGCGCCTCCCACACGAGCGGCTCCGGAGCGCGCGGGGGAATTTCTCCTCTGCGGAGCCGGGAATTTAGCACCAACTACGGCTCCAACACGGGCCGGGGGAACACTAGGAGGGGAGACAACCCCTTGGCTCCTGCAGACTCCTTGCAGCATTTCAGCACTTGAGCTAAATGAAACAAAAAAAAAAAAATCCAAGAAGTTAAACAAGGGCCAAGAAGTAGTTTTATAAAATGCATACAGGGGCCTGTCCAAATCTAAGAAATACTTCCAATTTTGATTTGTGTTTGACCCACTGTTAGAGCAATGCCTAAAATGAAGAAACAGTTCTGCTTGCCAGGTCATAAGGAGATACCTCCAATGTGCTCCACTAATAGGAAAAAGCCAMAAGCAGCTGTGGCACACACTGTGTTTCTCCATTCAACCAACGGTGCAGTAAGGCAATTTAACACCATCAGCCTAAGGAAGTTTCTAAAGTCACTTAAAAAAACAGGAAAGGGGAAAATGGGAAAAGAGGGAAGCAATGTAGTTATCGTGGAAGTAAAGACAACATCTCCGTTTCCATGCAGAGCAGGGCATGGCACTCTTTTCAGGAGCATCCTGCAGGATCAAGCCCTGTAATTCTGCATTTTTGTGTGAAGTTTTGGGAGATCAGTTTATGAATCATTTCCATTTTGTGAATGGCTGGGGAAGGATGCATTATGTGAAAAGACTGAAATGACCAGGCCACGTTTAGAAAGCAGGTTTAGAAAGGGGCTGCATGACTCCCCGAGTTCCTGTCATCACCAAATAAAAAGGATTTGCCTTCTCCAGTGCCGTGGAGACAGAAGCTCAGGAAGTATATCCAAGCTCCACCTCAGGGCAGCAGTTAGCACATGCTTAACTTTAAATGTCTGCTTACATTCCACCGACTTTCTATTAAAAGCTCATGACTCCCAGAGATCTGGGAGGGAGGGGAAAAAAGAAAACACTACCCTCTGTTTTTCATTCCTGAAGGACACAGGTCTCACGTTGCACGTTATGGTCCACACGTCACTCCTGGAACTGGCCAGACAGCAGCCAGGAAGGCAGGACACTTTCCTCCTCCTCCTCCTCCTGAACCTCCTCCCCCTTCTCCAAGGTGGCTGCCCAAAGCAAGGCCTGGGCTGCCCGGCTGCTCTGCCGAACAATTCCCACCGCCTGGATCTCGCTGGTGCAAAGACATCCTTAAAAACAACGCTTCTAACCAGGGAAACAGGGCTTCAACAACAGTAACTTTGCTGGATATTTTCCAAGCCAGCTGAATATATCCGCARTCCCTGACCAGGGCAGTTGTAGGGAAAGTGCTGTAAGAATTAATGATGAACACTGCTGCTGCCACTGTGGTAACCAAAAATGCTGGAGCAGATTCACGAGCCTTCCGAATTCACTTTCTCCTCAGTGCACCGAAATGCCAATAAATGGCCTGAGTGCTTGGAGGATTTAGCAGCTGTTGGGGTTGCTCCCTGTGTCAGGAGATTCCCAAGTTAGGCAGGCCCGGGAGGCCTGCAGGATGCACAGAGCGCCTGCTTCCAAGGAAAGCACCTGCAGAAGCTCATGGCGAGTTTTGCAGGAGCAGTGGGAAGTCTCAAGGGCAGGTGAACATAAACCACAAGCCTTAAACCACAGGGAGCAGGGGGCCAACCTTTTCAAGGTATTAAGGAACTGCAAGGCACAGACAAGGACATAATGGGATTTTCAGGAGCACCTAAACGAACCGCACACCCGGTGACGCTCTCGCCGGGCATCARGGCTGGATGTGCAGCCCACTAGGACACTGCTCCTAGCGGGAGCGCCTCACTCTCCTGARAGATCTTTGTAGCTGGACACAGGTCAGTCGATCAGCAAAGGCCAAGTGATCTGCAGGGCTGCTGAGAGGGAGGAGCCGCGGCTGCGCGCGAGGGGCTGCGCGCGAGGGGCCAGGCCGCCCCGCGCCAGGGCGACGGGCGCCTTGCAGGGCGGGCACGCAGGCCGCCGCCCGGGGCCGGGAAGGCCCAAACGGGCCTCAAAGGCGGCGTTTCGGTAGCTGAAGCCCACCTGGGGTATTGAAAACCTCCACGGGCTTAGATACATAGGCAATGAAACAGGAGATKACTAGCCCAGTGGTGGTTTTGCGCCCTACCCAAGGGTACAAAGTCAAGTTCTGGACTTTTAAACTAGGTCTCCTTAGGGAAAGACAGATTATCAATATATGGGTCTCACTGGACTTCATGTTAACATCCTTTCGACAGACTCAGTATATATATAAGTATAAAAACTAGTGTTAAAACAAACAAACCCTTCACCCCCCAGAAGAGGCCTCTGCAGAAGCTCCAAAGACRCTCACCAGCACACTGTGGCTACTAATTATTGCTGTATTATACAGCTGCTTAAACAATAAAAATTACACACTGTATCTCTCCTCCATATTCTTGGAACTAGTTTTTATGATCTCAGCTATTTATTGTTTCTCTTTCACACTGAAAATACAACTTGTTCTTCGTGCCAAAGGAAATAAATACATCACCACAGGAACAATGATTTCTGCAACTGTATGATTAATAGTTACAGATCTGTCACTTCACACAGAAGTTCTGCTACTATTTTCCTCCTTAATGAACATCTCCTTCAGCAAGACAAAAAGCTAAGAAAAAGCCACATAAAGTTTTTTTTCTCCCCAGAATGTGTTGTGGTGCAGTTTCATCCTTCCTTTCCATCTGCACTGAATCTCCTAATCGCCTTTCACCCCCACATGACAAGCAGCAGCATTCCGCAAGGGACAGATTTGTRAGAGGGAGAGCAGAAGAACTCAGGACAGGTTAGACAGAACCGAGACTGCTTCTTCACCCCCGTGCCACACACAGGGGACTACAGAGGTACCACAGCCCCTGCTGAACAAGAGCCTGCCATAAACAAGCTTCATTTCCCTTGTTGATCTCTTCATGCTCACACGGAATATCCCAACCTTCCACATGCTGGCAGCAGCCAACAACTTCAGGGGGCAGGAAAGGTGCAGGTCACACTTTCCTCGACTGCTCTACAGCTACCCATACTTTTTGCAGCACCCCAGCATTACTCAATGGGTGAATTATGTTCTTCTTGTCCCTCGTCCTCTGTTATTTTTCTAACACTGAATTCAGGAGTTACCCAATATGTGCATTACACATGTAATTACTGTAATCCATTTTGCAGCCCAGCAAGCTATTTCCCCTGGCTCCCAGGTTAAGGGAGTTCTTTGGCTGTACATTCCTTTTTCTTTCCAGATTCAGTTCCTTTTTCTTTCATGGATTGGACTCTGCCCCACCAAAGGCTGCTGAATCAGGAACTGGTAACGATGCACAGGAAGAGTATCTCACAAACTTCAGTGGTTTTCGTATTTTTTAGTTAGTGTCAAAAGCAAAAAGGGACTATATTTGTTGAACGTGTTTGTGGTTTGGTCCACTTACGTTATACAACATAGGTGCATTTGCTATTGGTAAGAGCAGCCTGAGGTACATATCACTACAGTCAACTGACAAGGAACTGTACACTACTCACTCTGTAGGGCCAGTGTCATGGGCTACTCTACTCTACTCTATCCACGTGTTAGTGCTTGTAGCACAAGGAAACAGTGCACGTTTTATGCAGAAGCCCAATGTCTTTTTCCCTCCAGGCCCCGAGAATCCAAGCAAGGACAAGAGCCGCTCTCGGCACCGTAACTCGAGCGGGAACCAGGGTATTCCGGGACACACCTCCAGGACGGCGCGGCGCCGGCACGTACCTCCTTGGCCATGTCAGTGTACTTCTGCTTCTCCTTCGGATCTAGAAGGGCCCACCAGTCCGCCAGGATCTTGGTGGCGCCCCGATTATCGAGCCGGGGGTGCTCCTGGCGCACGAGGGAGCGGTGCCGCTTGCAGAAGAGCAGGAAGGCGTTCATGGGCCGGCGAGCCCGCTGCTCCGGCGACTCGTCGTCCTCCGTTTCATCGGCATCCTGCTCCAATCCCTCAGCGCCGAGAAGATGCACCTGGCAGGACCCGGAGAGACCGGCTGTGAACTCCACTCATGCAAAGGCCTGGTGTGTGTGTGTGTGTGTGTGTCAATGATGAGCAGATACATGGATACACACAGGTGTCTCCAAATGCCAACTATCACCTCCAGAAGACCATGAAACTTCCACCAAACCTCCTCCCCTGAAGGTCCAAGGTTCATTCATGCTCTCTCCAATACTTAAAATCACACTTGCAAATGGAGCAGGTTTCTAAGAGGAGGACTATTCTATAGTAACAGTCTTAAAATAAGCACGAAGGAGGAGATCCTCCCACATAGAGACACAAAAAATCACCCYGGAATGGGCAGAGCTGCCTTGGACCTCCGTTGGGTGAGCTTGCAACCATAGCATGCACCCCAAGAGCAACGCGTAGATGGAGCTGGTGCACCAGSTCCTCCCATGTGCTTTGCTGCTTGTGGGCTGTGCTGCAGATTAACCACCACATAGGTTCCCAGCTGGCTCCAGAGGGCAATCCTCAGCAGGACAAGCTGCCGAAACGAGGTCTCCCACCTCACACACCAGCCTGTCACCCCGGCAAGGACCACGCCACAAAAGACYAGTTACAACTATGTGAGCTGTAACAGTGCATGAGATGGGAAGCCACTTCCTACCCAAGGGCAACATGGYTATTTTATCCTGTACTGTGAAGAGCGACCCATAAGGCCAACAGAAAGCACTGTCAGAGTGTTGGGCTTCTTCACGTTACTCCTTATCCTTGTCTAGATCCCTCTTTCCTATCAGTATGTGGCTCCTGCCATAGCAAGGAATCAAGAGATACAGGCATGAACACTATCTGCAGGCTGGAAATGTCCCCTCTCCAAAACTCATCGCCTCCCATTCCCRCTTCTGGTTACAGAGGATAAGCCTAATTGGGTCCTTATGAACAGAGGCCATGGCTAAGGTCCCAGAACAGCACCAAAACACCAGGCACCACAACAGAAAGGGACTATTTCATCTGTGTTCCTAATATCCCGGAAGATACGTTGAATTTCATGTGCAAAGATGGTAAATTGCTAACAGCTATTTGCTTCTTTTTTTAATATTTTAAACTCTTTTGATCTTAAAACAAAACGAAAGCAGCCGTCTGGTACTGCCGTTAGGTTACCAGAAGCAGAAATCAAGTTTAGCCTAACATTGTGTCTATAATTAATGATTAAAGAAAAAAAAAAAAAAGGCACCTTGAGCCATAAAAACCATAAAGACCGAAAGTTACAAAATACAGTTTAAACAACTTGACTAAGCACTTACAGTCTAACTCTAAAAAAGCAGGAGGCTTTCAAGATTTTAAAAGYGCGATAGACAATTCACATTTTTTCATTGTTTGCTCTTTTCCTATCACTTCTCATGTTTGTGTGCACAGCATCGCTTCTTTTTATGGGCTGTAYTTGTTCACAAAAGGGAAAAGCAAAGAAGCAAAAAAAAAACCCATACCAGGGGAGACTCTGACCCCACCACTCGCCTTCTACAGTTAAAGCATTCAGTGAGGTCTACCTTATCAATATCTTCCTCTTCCTCCTCCTCTTCCTCCTCTTCAGAAAAGTCAAGGAGCTTCTTGGCAAGCAGGGGATGCCACTGAAGACACTTCCTTTTGGGTCGCTTCCCAGTTCCTTCTCCTTCTGTCGAGTGATCCTTGTTCCTACTACTGCCTTTCATTACTGTGACCTGTCAAGCAGAGAGAGTCCTGTGTTCACCACAAACTCTTAAGCACCAGTGACCACTGCCTGGAGACTCAGGCAAAACGGGGCCAAGCACACGGGGTGTTTAAACAAGACACCAAGAAGATTTTGGCAAGGTAACAGATAGAGGTTTATTCCATCCATAACGGCACACTAAGTGATCATACCACAGATGCCCTTCTCCTTGTTTTAACACTTCCACGAATGCCCAGATCAACTAGGAACATTCGGGTTAAGAGCAGGAAAYAGGGACACTAGTCCAGGTGTCACATGTGCTCCTAGCCGACTGAAGGCACAAAAACAGTAACACTTCACTAGCCAAATCGGTGAGACACGCCATGGTTGTCCCACATCCGGGTCCACTGCAGTATTTTCCCTTTTGCCACAGAARAAGTCCGGAAAAGCCTCTTTTTAGCAGCAGACTTTACAAACTTACACCCTGTTGATCATGCGCTTATATATAGCGATGGTGACGCGGCATCCCGTGACGCTGCGAGCCAGTGTTTCCCAAGCGCCGGGAAAAGCACACCAGGGAAAGGGGACTCCGTGCCTGAGCGGGGCGCGTTGCTGCAACACGGGAAGCCGAGGCAAAGGGCCAGAGCCCCGTGCCAGGCTGCCCCGGCAGGGTGAGCGCACACGCACGGCTCAAGCCGCCCGCGGCGCGCGCCGCCCGGGAACGACGTTTACCTGCCTGCCTCCCTCAGGGGAGCGCTCCCCTCCGCACCTCCATCCCCCTGCCGCGGCCCAGAGCGCACGCCRGCCCCGCGGCGGGATGGCCAGCGCAAGGGAGGGCTTAAAGCTCTGCTCTCCGTAAGAGCTGGGCACTGGGGCGCTCCGGAGCCCTGCTCGATCGCAGCCTCCTGCTCACGCRGGTAACAGCGGTGACAGTGACAGCCCCCAGGGCCGAGAGAGMCGGCTTCCCGGGAAGAGCAAGCGACCGCCACAGGGAGCTGCCCTGCCAGGGGACACCCTGAGCAGCCCTGCGAGGGGGACCAGCCAACACGGTCTTCACAACCCCGCCAGGAACCYGCGGAGGTGGCGCTGGGACGTCCCCGGAGCAGGACAGGGCAGSCTAGGCCCTGCTCCCCCGAGCGGCGCCAACACAAGTCCTGTCGCCGGCCCTTGAGCTCAGCTTAGGAAAGACCCGGGCGCTTGTCTCCAGTTTATCCACCAGCAAGGTGGCCTTGTGCGCTCCGGAAACCCTTCCCGTGCGCTCAAACAGCACCGAAGGCTCCGGGAGCTCYGGCCACGCTCCTCGCCGAGGGCAGTAGCGGCACCCAAGGGAAGGTAGCTCTGAAATCTAACCCGCAGACACGTGAAAACGCCCGGCCCCCAACGGCTAAAGACACTGCGTGACTCACGAGCAGGTTTCTGTCAAGCTCCACACCTGGCTGCTCCCATCACGCTGCATCCGCGCAAAGCACAGTCAGACCTTGATTTCACAGCAACAACTTCTCTGTTTTCTGTATCCAGTACAGAAATACAGTCCTTTCAACRGGTATTACATGGCCTATAATCCTGCACCATTTCACCTGAATCTTTTTCTGCAGAGGATCCAACAAACACACTGGAAATTAAACGCTCGGAAACAAACAACTCTGTTTGCAAGAACACTAAGAGGTGAAAAACCAATGCAGTTCCTAGAAACACAAGGCTGAAGGGCCCTTCTCTCCAACAGGGATCTCTGCCAGGTACAACACTGCACAGCCCTCCCCATCTGTGTCTTCTCCTAAAATACTACCCATCTCCTCCAGGTGCCTTTATGATTCCGTGTTTTCCGACACAGCCCTCAAGGAAGTTGAACTCCTAACAGAAACTGGAGCCTCTGGGCATCGCAGCGACTTCCAGGTTTGAGTTGGTAAGGCCCAGCTCACCAGGGCTTGTTCTCCTTTCTCATGCACGCAGGCCAGGTATCCAACCTGCGRCTGCTCCCTAACATAAAGCAACCGATGTCCCCTGGGCAGGAGGGAAGGAGGAGCAGAGGGGCACGGAGGTAACGGAGTCACGTTGCCTCCCCAAGCCGGGGTCGGTGTCACCTTTGCGGTGGCACTGAAGCAGCAGCTCAACTAGGCAGGGTCTGTTGGCAAGGCAGCTTGCACTGTGAGCTGGACATTTTGGACATCGAAGGCACAAGCYAAATCTAAAGCTGGCTGTTACCACAAGCAGAGCTTACTGGAGRAAGTCTCTCTTTAATCTTAAGCTTGGAGCAGGTCTCTGCAAAGGGCCTCAGTCTGCATCAGCGCCCGCTCCTCAACGCCCTTCCAGCGGGACGAGGACTGCAGCCAGGCAGAGACTGACTGCCAATTCTACAGTAGAAATAAATAAATAAATAAAATAATTAATAAAAATCCTYCCCTCTCCTTCAGCATGCCAAGTCTGTCCTCCGGGCCCCCTCTGCTATCCTATAAAACAGGAGGCAATTCACAACAAGGTTTTGTGGAAGAGTAGAAGTACTACAAAACACAGAC